AGAGCGGTCAAGTAATTGAAGCAGGATGTAAGAGGTCACTGTTGCACTTTCTGCATTGTGTGCTTCAGCCTTGGTTTGATCCAAACCACTCTGGGTTCCAGGGTCGTGCAGAAGGATGACCCTGGGGGAGATTGCCTGTTCAGAACAACGTTTACTTCAGTTTCACACCTTCATTCTTGAACCGTGTGCATCAACACGTTCTTGTGTGTAAGAAAAGTTTTTTCTCAATACCATACTGTCCCCAACCCTATATGCAAATTAGTGTATAAAGGAGGGTGCACTAAAATATCCTTTTGCTGTGGTAGAGACTGTAGATTGGGGTAATGCGTGCTATGCGTTTTCCTTTCCTTCAGAAGGAAAGAGGAGTCATAGGTTCTGGTAAAGGATGAAAATACATTCCTGGATGGAAGACCGCAAATCATGCAAGCTCCTCTGCAGAGGAGCTTGGCTCTTTCACTGTTGTTTGAAAGACTTTAATGAACTTAGTGGTTAGGTAAGACACTGTATATTTTTTTTTTGTTCTTCTGATATGCAAAACAGTGTGAAGGTTTCCAGGTTTTGTTCAACTGGGCTTTTGTGTACTTTCCCCACTTGCAAAATTTCAATGAAACGTGCTAATGGTAGTGCACGTAATACTATCTGAAACAGAGGCACAGCAGATGAGGTATAATATACCTCCTGTGGTATCATGGTGCATTATAGCACTGAGCATTAATGTGCAGATGTAGTTCAATTCTGTTTAAAGGCATAAGTTTTTCTCCTCACCTGAGTAATACTGTTTTAAAGGTTATATTTGAGTTGGCTTCTAGAATTGGTTTCAGCTTGTATCATTTTTTATTTGAGGATGGGGCGGGAGTGAAGTTATTTTATTTCATTTCACATAAGACAGATGTTTGTTCTGTGCTGATTACGGCTAATTTTCAATAAGATATGATGACAGTGGTAGCAGCATATAGCCTAGCCGAATAGGCAGATAAGAGGAAAGTAATGATTTATGTTTATGTGTTTCTGAGGTTTACTTTAGACAGTAGCTGTCTCATGAGATGGTAGAAGCAATTATTTTCTGAAGCTTCACTGATCAGAATTTTTTAATGTATTTGATAATTTTAATGGTGATGATACATCTTTAACTTGTTTGAATGTTCACTATTCAGATGTGATTATTTGCACTTTTGTCTTGTAGCACTGCAGAGCATCATGTAAAATTTTCTGTTAAATGTTTGTTGGCAATGTAAGCAGGTTTGTATTTGAAGTTTACTCATTTCAAAAGTAAACCTTAGCACAGTACTTAGGGAACCAGGCTTCACAACTGCTATTAACACTCCTGAGAATTTGTGGTTTGTTTCTTAAAGTTTAGGTTAACAATTTTACTTCTAAGAAAAGAAATTTCCTTGAGGTGTGCTGTGTAACATAGCAAATAACAGAATGTGAAAAAGAATTTAGTCCAGTTTAAGAGAAACCATGTGCATCCATGTTAGTTTACTGGAAGCTTGTTAAAGAAAGAAGGTGATACTCCTTTTTTGTTTATGCCGACAGCTAAAAGCAGTGAATCATTTAAGCAGGTCTATAGTAAGTAATTATTGTCATAGTTGCCTAAGGTGGTTCTGTTCTGTTCTTAGAAACAAAAACAAAGTACAACGCAGATCTACATGTGTAGCACTAGTCTTGCTTTGGCTTGTGAATTGTATCAACTCCAAGTTATTTTAGGCTCTGCATTTCACTGGGTTTACTGGATTATAGCAAATCATTCAATTTATAGGGGAAGAACAGAAGAGAAATAAGTTGATTCTTATCTTGATATAAGTGCATTTGGCCCTTTTCTGTGGAAACTATAGCTCTGAATCAGTCTCCAGTAAGAGTTGTGACTTCATCCCCTTGCTCACACAAACAACCGTTTGTTCACAACAACCATTTTAGTGTATTTATCTGGTGAATAGAAAGAAAATAGAGTTTACCTAAAAATTGCACAGAACCAGTGGAAATGCACAGAATGTTTTCCTTCTTGTCAGCAGCTTGACAAGTGGGGGTATATTTGTATAATTACGACAGCTTTTAATCTGTTTTTAAGCTCTTTGATGATGTTACCATTCCTTCACATTGTTCCTAACCAGATCTTTCAAATAGTGCTGAAAGAAGCTTGTTTATGAAGATGGCTGGATTATTTTTCTTGGCGAGTCATTTTTCTAGTTCTGATTTTGCTACTTGTATGATATACTGGGCAGTTGTTTTTGACGTGAAACATGGGAAAGTCTAAACTCTCACGATCATGTTTGAAGATGCTTTGCCTTTCAGTGGACATTTGTGTAAAAGCCATGAAACATGCTTTGCTGCTACTTTTGTTAATTTTTAAGATTTTTTCAGAAATAAGGAGTAGTAATGCTCCACTGTCCACAAACTGCTATTTCCTACTTTTTTGTCTGTGTCAGTCTTCTTTTTATGATGATGTACTTGCATGTAAATATAGTGTTTGTTGTGCAACAGGGATTTATTTGACGTCGATAGAGGTTTTTCTGTTGCGGAATTGGACACATGAAAATCTCAGTTTCTCCTGTCTAGCTGAGCCAAAATGTAACTACAAAATTTTCTAGGACGTAGTTAAGCCTTCTTCATGATGGATTTCTAAAATCAATCTAAAACTTATATTGCATTGCTCTATGTCCGTTCTTGAGCTATGAAAGTAACTCCTCAGTTGTAAAGCAAGTTAATGAAGTGATAGTGGTTTGCTCCTGATTGCGGATTTGTGAAGTTGTTTTTACCACGTTGTCCAATGTCGTACCAGTATGTAAGTCCACAGTATGTGCTTATGGTACTTGCATCAGCATCAGTGCTTGACCCCTGTAAGAACTGAAGCTTCACTAGGTGCTTTTAATTATGCTATTGATGAATTATATACAGTTCAGGAAGATGGTAGCACCTGATCTAAAATTTTGTTGGAGATGCAGGCTGATTTGTCTTTCTGTGTTTTGATTCTATTGTTGGAGTTGTTTGTGTGAATGACTGTTTAATTACAGAACAAAATGCTATTGAGTTGCAATGGCTTAACTGTCCATTTAAATGTCACAGGTAGAGGAGGATGATGATACTGAATCACGAGAGGAAGAAGAGAAGGAAGAACTGAAAAGCTATTCAAGAAGAAAGATTTTTTCCAACTGGAGCCGCTATGAGGATACAGAAAAAGAGGGGCAGAGTGAATGTGGGGAATCACAGAGAGGAACAGACTTCAATGTTTTGCTTAGCTCAGCAGGTAAGCATTTCCTATTCTTTAGATAGTTTTTTAGCTTTGCATTTTGAAACGTTACTACTTTTCTGACTATTGTCTTTGATGATGAAACAGGACCCTAGAATACCGTTCCCATCTGCCTCATTAAGTCTGCCATTGATGTATTTAGGAGCGTTAAAAGTGTCTGTGGGGGAGCAGCCTTATAGCATACAGGCTGCACTGAGCAGTGGCAGATGGGGAATAAAAGAGGGCTGCTGCATTTATAGCCTTCTCATGAAACTATGTACGGGTCTGTGTGCAGCATCCAGTGACTTTTAGCCTATTCTTGCTGACAATGAATTTCTTACCAATCTTGGTCATGGGGTTGCTTTCCAGAAAACAAAAAAGATTGCTAGTATGACTAAATACAGCAAAGCAGTCGAGCAGCTGCTTGCTGTTGTTTGTTTTGACAAAGATTTGTAATCAGCACTGTGCAGATGTGTGCATGAATAGCAAGTGTTACTCTCCTTGAAAATAAAGATCAGTTGTTTTCCCCTTTTTAAAGGAGATAATAGAAGGAGGAGGTGGAGGGACAGGCTGTACTAGATCCTATTTTTTTTTAGCTATGCATCAATATTATGGGCAGTTGCAAAGAAAGTTACCTAAAATTATTTTAGAAACTCTTGATATGCTGTTGTGTTGGAATACCATTCAGTGAAAAACTGCAAACAATGTATTTTTGAGCAACTTGGAAGCTCTAAAGTCTCTCAAATGTGAATTATTGGATTTTCAGTCACAGCTTGGAGGGATAAGTTAGAACTTATCTATAGTAAAAAAACAAGGACCAGAGCCTTCTTTCTCTGTGCCAGAAGCAGTTTCTGAGAATTGCAGAATAGGGCCTAAATTGCCAGTTTTAATCATAGGATCATGAGATGTATATTGACTTCTCTGAATAGTATGTTGCATGGTAAACAGTGTTAGAGTCAAGATGACTGTTATGGACCTCAGTGCTAGATAGGTAACATAGCTTGGAGAGCAAAGTAGATATCACAACTCAAAACTTTTAAAATTAAGACCTACCCTGAGCTGCATGTTGCCATGGTTCAGCTTTTAAAAAGAAACTTTGGTACCTCTAACTTTGTACTTAGCCTTCAGAATGTCTTTAAAATATTCTGATTAGTAGTACTTTTGAACTGAGGATATAAGGAAATACAACACATTTCTACTAATTTGTATTTTTGGTAGTTATACTCCAATAAAGTTTCTGCCAACCCATTTGTTTTACTCTGTAGATTCTCTTAATGTCTAAAATTAAAATCTTGTTAGTTAGTATTCTTACTAGTTATTAATTCTAAGTCTTTCATTTAAAGAGTGCTTTATTTTAGAATAGTACTTCAACATCAAAGTAAATTGATAAGAAATAGCAGTGAAATAAAGTACATTCTTTCAGAGGAAGAAAACTTACATTCTATACAATAATGCAGATTTCTTGAAGTCACATAAAAAAGCAGTGTGTGTTGGGGGATTTCTTTGTATGGTTTCTTTGGCTTATGTGTGAAAACTGAGAATATAGTCATCTTTATTTCTAGTGGTTTGAGAAAAAACTTACCTCTCTGCTTTATTTAATAGTTTTGATTTCTGTTAGTATATTGGTGTTTAGCATTCTGAATTAGTATAATGGATCCAATTCAATTGCAACAAGCAGTTAGGGGAATGGAGAGGCAATGGAGTTAAAGTGCCATTTTTGATGGATGCAAAAGCTTAGAAAGGTCTTGCAATTTACTATTAATACACAACAATGAAATTAATGCAGCCGGTTATAAGAATCCTTTGGCAGAAGCTCAGATTAAAAACCTGTTCTTCTATGTAACATTTAGGTTCCATAATATTGAAAGCAGGATCTTAAACAGAGTGCTGTCCTTCAAGATGCAAGTTGGATTTATTCCCAGAAAATAACCTGTTATTGGGATGAGATAGGGTAGGAAAAATAGTTTGGGATAGCGTAGTAATAAAGATAGAATTAATGCTAGTAGACAAAATGTAAATGGATGAATTCCTGATGTCCAAGGAATTAAAATTCCATGCTTAGTATTTGTTTAATGTTTTGTAGACATGTTCCTACATCTAATTTTCTAGTTAAAATCAACCAAAAACTATCAAAATGAGAAGACTAATATTCTGTGATAGGGGTGTCATGTTGATAATTAACAAGAGTGGGGCTTTTAAATCTAGTCCATTACTGTTGCTTGAATTAAGAAAGTAATAGAGTTATGGGTTGTTATACTGTATTTTTATCAATAGTAGAGGAAAGTGGGATATTTTTTCTGAGAGGAAGAGGAAGGGTTTTGCAGATATGTGCAGAGGATAAGTCTTTAGGGTATCTTATTTTACATTTTAGTAAAAAAAGTGAAGACACATGCTATTTTTAGTTTTTGTCTATATTTCTAGCTTGTCCCTGCCTCAAGCCAATCTCCAGTGCAGCACTGATTCTGTCTTTTCAATCAAATATTTAGACCTGACTAGTCCCAGACTGTCTCTGACTGCACCTTGTCTCTCTGTTGTCAGCCTTTGCCTGCCTACTAATTTTGCTCATTCTCCCTTGCGTCTCTTGATTTCCTTGTGTGGGTTTCTGATTCCTAGTGGTGGGTCTTTTCTCAGTCTGTTGTTGTGAGCCAGCTCCCTTCCACACATATTCACTAAAATCCAGCTCTGTCAGATATGTTCTGTCCCTCACTCTATCCAGTTCTGATAGTCCCCAGTTCTGGGTTGTTCTGCCTGGGATTGCTCATTTGGTCTTCTTACATTCCTCTGAGTTTCTTTCCTTGTCTAGTTGATTCTAGTTTATTCTTTCAAGCTTCTCGTTCTAGTCTCCATGACAAGCTGTTTTCTCCAACTTCCCTCCACATGCTCCGTCAGTGTACACTAAATCCTACTTGGTTGCCCAACAATAAGAAGTGACAGAGCACTGTTTTCAGCTGTGGTAGGGATATATGCGTACGTGAGGTTGCAGAAATATGCAAGAGTAGGCTTTTTGTTCAGTGTTGTACCTAACGCCTGTTAAGTGCAGACTTCTCTTACACTGAAAATCTGGCTCTTCACTCATAACCAGAGGTTACAGGAAACTTAAGTTGCCTTGCATACTGAGATAACATACAGAAGGTCTCTAAGGATGGACTGTTTGGTGCTTGATTGTTAAGCTTCAGCAGATCTTGCCAAAAAAGAAGTACAAACTGATTTCTAGAAGCTTGTAACTTGGTTAGATCTGGTCAGATTTTTCACAAAATGAGCGGAGTGTACCTCTTTCATAGAAAAACATTGTCCAGCCTGATTCCAAGTTACTGATTCAGGGCAGGAAAGTGATTACAATTTTTCAAAGGAAGAGCTTACAAGGACTTTTTTCCTAGGTAGTTTCGCGATAGAAAAATATTCCAGCCATTCTCTGACTTTTTAAAAGGTGATGGTGAGGGGAGGGTGAGGAAAAACTATCTGAAGCAGACAATCAACATGGAAAATTTCAAACTGAATAGTTAAAAAAGCACACCAAAGCTGTCTTAAGAAATAACTGCCAGATAACTTTGATAACAGGTGATGTCACTAGCCTGACAGAGCTTCTTCGTTAGGGCTTATTGTGTTTGTGTGTAAAGTAGGGTGATAACTTTAGTTTTTGAGTCTGTTTCTTTCCTTTTTTTTTTTAGCATTTCATGTTTTTTTTAATTAACCTTGATAGCAAAGCAAACTTTTCTGTATTGCTTTTGATGTCTAGCTGATGTAAACTGCAAGCCCATTGTGAAGCCTTCAGGGAATATGTCTTGAATCAATTTAGTAAAAATCCTGTTGAAGCGTAAAGAACAAGAGAAGTGGAAGTGATAGGATAACCTTACTTTGCTAGATGAATCTTGCCATGTTTGAAGAGCTGTCCTCGTTTTTTGACTGATGAGGGTTAAGCGTCCCAAAATAGATTTAAGTCCTTTGTTAGGGTTTTGGCTGTTAATAGGTATTTTAGGTTTAAAAATATGGTTTTAAAATCTCATTACAGAGCTGATCAAAATGTATCCAGGGACCTGATCACTTCCCTTTAAACGCGGTAGGCATTACCAGTACAGGAGCCAAAAACTGCCAACATACATGTCTCAGTAAGAGTGTGCTGTTGCAGGATGTGATGATTATCAAGATGAAAAAATATAATTTGGACATACGTTTTTTTTTCCCGTTTGTTTTTTTGCCAATGGCTGAATAATTTTGATGGCCTTAAAGCATAAGAAAGAGAAATGCTGTGTATTTCAAACAAAACTAGCAAAATGGTTTTGGTATTGTAAGAATGCGTATAATTTAGGGAGGCAACTAGGAAAGCTAAGACCTCCTTGGAATTAAACCTTGCAAGAAAGGTCAAGGACCTCCAGTTGGAGGCCTGCATTCAGTGGAGTCCCTCAAGGGACGGTGCTGGGACCAGTATTGTTCAACATATTCATCGATTATTGGATGAGGGAATAGAGTGCATGGTCAGCAAGTTTGCTGATGACACTAAACTGGGAGGAGTGGCTGACACACCTGAAGGCTGTGCTGTCATTCAGAGAGACCTGGACAGGCTGGAGAGTTGGGCGGGGAGAAATTTAATGAAATACAACAAGGGCAAGTGTAGAGTCTTGCATTTGGGTAAGAACAACCCCAGGTACCAGTACAAGTTGGGGACTGAACTGTTGGGGAACAGCACAGGGGAAAGGGACCTGGGGGATCTAGTGAACAGCAGGATGACCATGAGCCAGCAATGTGGCCTTGTGGCCAAGAAGGCCAATGGCATCCTGAGGTGTATTAGAAGGGGTGTGGTTAGTAGGTCGAGAGAGATTTTCCTCCCCCTCTGCTCTGCCCTGGTGAGGCCGCATCTGGAATATTGTGTCAGGTTCTGGGCCCCTCAGTTCAAGAAGGACAAGGAACTGCTTGAGAGGGTCCAGCGCAGGGCCACAAAGATGATGAAGGGAGTGGAGCATCTCCCTTGTGAGGAAAGGCTGAGGGAGCTGGATCTCTTTAGCTTGGAGAAGAGGAGACTG